AAAAAAAAAAAAAAAAAAGTAAGAATTGAGGAAGGGGGCAATGCCAGAACTAAAATATCAGGTTAAATATATTGATATTGACTTTTATCCTAAAAGAAATAAATTATTGCAAAGTTTGACACGTTGTTCAAAAAAAAAAAAAATCAAGTGGAGAAATAGATTGGAGAGGGGAAAAAAGGTAGGGAGTTGGTTGGAATCATGTGAATGTGAGGTGATGAAAGCCTGAAATAAATGGAAGTTCTTGTTTATGGATTATACAGAGCAAGTGATGGAAGTGTCAACAAGACTACTAGTTTTCTTGCTTAAAAACCTGAAATAAAATTTTTCCAGCACATATTTTATTAAATGTATTTTAATTTTTTTTATAGAAACAGTTGCTATTTCAGAACCTATTTCAATGAACATAATTTTTTGTTCTTTGATTACGTTAATACTATTTGATTTAGCTGATGCAAATTTGATTCACATTCTTAAAACAGTATGGTACTTTAATTCATTATTTTAAAGAATATGTCTCTCACATTGATATTTTGTAGTTATTGTAGTTATCAACAAACAGCAAATTAGTAGATTTGATGTGTCTACTCTTAACTAACAGCTTATTTTATTTAACTGAGAGCAGCTGCATTTTTAAGATTACTATTACATTAAAACAGTGTTGACATAAAATAACAATTAGCCTTTTAAACAGAAAACATGATAATTTATTTCACCACACTCATAAAATTGCATTCTTCAGAGTGAGCAATCTCTAATGACAGAAACAGTTATCAGTTCATTACGTAAATCACACTCAAGATCCAAAGCGGTAGAAGAGAGCAATGACTTGTTGATCACACTATGTTAGTGCTAAAGGGAACTTCAGAGACTGTGTTATGAATACTTACTATTTTACAAATGACACAATCAATCAAAACAAACAAACAAGAAGAACAGCAACCTAAGTTAAATTTAAGTGAATTATCTGGTCTTGGAACAACTTAGAGATTGTGTTAGTTTGGTGGTCTTAAACCCTGGCCACATATTTGAATCATGTGAGGACCCCTTGAAACATACTAATGCTGAACTTCCACTACAGAACAAACTGGAATTGTAGTGAGGTGGATCCACGGGCGGGAGCGCCGCCGCGCTTCCCAAGCGGTGCACTATCCAGTGCGCCACCGGGCCGGCCCCAGAAGATTTTTAAAGGCTTCTTAAATGCTTTTAACTAACAGATTGAGAAACACTATCTACTGTTACACACCAAATCAGTTCATGGATTTCAGTGCTTGCATCACTTTTGTATTTGATTTCCTCTTGTCTCAATACAGGAATAATGTTTGAATATGTTTGATTGTTTTTAAACATTAAGCTTATTTGAGAACTAAAAATGCCTAAGGAGAACTTGTTCACAATGATGAAATGTATTTTGAAACTGGAGGAAGTAATATAAAGTCAAATTGCTCATGGATAAATCAGCAGTGAGCCATTATTGTGAAAGTAATATATGCATATTTAATCATTTTTCCTTCATGAATCTATGGCAAAAATGCCTAAGGAGAACTTGTTCACAATGATGAAATGTATTTTGAAACTGGAGGAAGTAACATAAAGTCAAATTGCTCATGGATAAATCAGCAGTGAGCCATTATTGTGAAAGTAATATATGCATATTTAATCATTATTCCTTCATGAATCTATGGTCAGAGATTACTACGTATATCTGATTATCACAAAAATAAGAATTATGTGCTCCTATCTCTAAGAACCTAAATGACTTAGGCTGGCCAAGAAGCCAGTGTGAAAATGCTTAATATTCAATAAATATTTAAGTAGAGCTACCCAAACTAATTTTGAATATTAGTAAAAAGATCCAACAATGCAACTTCTCTCACTAAAGTTTTCAAAACAAAATAGAATCTAGAATAAAAAATACATAAATAAAATTATACATTTTATGTACAGCAAGAGTTATTTTTTCTGGTTGTTGCCATTAAGATCTACTTTTCTTTTCTTTTTTTCCCCTCATAAAATATAATTGAAGAGGAATTTTAAAATCAAGCTGGAGAATTTGAATGGTATGCATTAATTTTACCAGCAGTAAAATTATTTTAATTAAGGAATTTTTCTGCAGCCTAAATGAAGTGTCTTACATGCCTAATCAATTTTTTGCCAATATAACTGCTCTACAAAGAAGGGATGGTAATTAATTAGAAGAAGCCCCTTCAAGGACAATTGGTCTACAGTGCACAACTTGAGAAAGAGCTGACATGAGCTGTTTCTTTTCAATGTCATGATCTATGTTCATTATATGTATTATTAGGTTTTAGCAAAGGAGGTACTGACAGAGTGGATAATGAGTTGTGAAGTGAAATAAAACAATATGACTCATACTTAAGAAAAGATAAAATTGCAAAGAAATAGAGATAAGTTCTCTTAAATACTTTTCTTTTTAAGCATGTCATTATTACAGTTTTCTTACTGAAATTAAACATAAACACTTAAAAAGTTTACTAGTTTTTTTTTTTTCTAAGTTTTTAGAATTTCTTTGTGAATTGATGTTGCAGACCTACATTTACTTTAAATTTTCCATTTTTTGGTCAGGAAATAGTGGATCTTACAAGATGTAATTATAACCTATTCGTTCATTATAAATTACTTTTGTAATTTAATAGTGATTATTGTGAAAGCAGGAAATGCTGTATCTCCAAATAAATCTTTATTGAAAGCTATTTTTACCATATTGCTCCACTTTCAAGGCATCTATTAATATATACATTAGAATTAGAGGATTCAAGATTTTTTTTAAAATCTAAGTTTAAAAATTGTGGTTTAATGCTTTTCATTCATATTACATACAATAAAATTTTAAATTATTTTTACAGTAAGATAATTATATTATTTTATTAATATGCTAATTATTAAATAAATGGCTTCATAAACAAATAAAAGACAATTAAATGATATAATTAAAAAATTCACATGACAACAATTGAAATATTAAAATGCATAGGACTAAAATGAACAAAAAGTGCATATTCTAAATGAAGAAAACTTTCAATATTGCTGTCCTATAGGTACTTGCATGCATAATCTGAAAAAAAAAATTCTAAAGATATATTATGCTGTCGCTATTATTATGTTTAATAGTTTTGTCTTTCAACCTTTATGCTAAAGAATAAGTGATTTACATACCACCTTTATAGTATTAGAGAATTCTAAATTTGTGTGCATACTTTTACTGAGTTTTATACTATCCGATGTGTTTTTACCTCAAACATAATAACTATGTATAATAATGTATGTGCTAATTAGCTACATTTAGTCATCCCACAATGTATATAAACCTCAAAACATCATTTTGTATGTGATAATGCATATAATTATATCTGTGAATTCAAAATAAAATAAAATAATACCCCCCCCAAAGAGATCTTTTATGCCATTGGAGAGGAAACAC